ACAGTGAGTGTACAACAACGGCCTATCCGTTACGTTTTGAGTCACCGAGCGCGTTCCGCAGAGTGCCCACTCGCAAACGTAATGGATCTTGAATCCATTCGGTGGATCCAGGCCACTTGCGAGTAGCTACTTTGCGAGTGGTGGAACGCGCTCGTCTACTCAGGGCAGATTCGTATCAGTCGCCATTCTGTTCTCTTCGGCCTCTCTTAGCCCGCCCATGTTCCCTCTTCGCCAGCGTCTTTTTTTGGCACGCGGGAGAAGGACTGGGCGAGAACGCTTCTGCGGTAAGACTGCTTACCGCCTCCTTTGGTTGTGATTTCGTTGGTGGCATCATTTCTCACGCTGTCGTCACTGTGGTCGTGGAAGGAACTATATACACCTGGCGTCTAGGCCCCCTGGCACGTCGGCAGTGCAGATCCCTCGCTCCCAGAACCTCTGTTTTCCAAAGGGGTCCTGGGACCCTTGTGCGCTTCTGCCGATCTTTCCCCGCGTCAGCAGACTTTCAAGGCAGCCCAGCAGGTTGCCCACAGGCCGACAGGACGGCTCCAAGAGGCCCACACACATCTTTCTTCCCAAGCCAGCGTTGTAGACAGCTTTCTGCTGTCAAGCTTTTATCCTTCCGTTGGTTTCAGGAGCGCTTCACAGGCCCGTGGACGCCCCCAGAGGGTCCGGCACAGACCCCAAGACGGCCCGCGAGAGCGCCCAGACGGTTTACGCGGCCCCTCAACAAGAGTCCCCAGATGTGCACAAAAGGCCCCAACCGTCATGATGGCCTGAGAGGCCCCCTGACAAGCGTCAAGAGGCCCACCCAGACGGTCCCGAAAGGGGCCCCAAGGCAGCCCTCAAGCAGTCCAAGGCGCCCCCCAAGAAGCCAACTCGGCCTAACCTACCCTTCCAACTACGCCCAGGAACAGTGTCGTAAGGCGCCGACCTTCTCTTCGAAAGACACCCGCTGCGCGAAACACCACTCGCATACAACTTGACGGGGCCCTCCTGGGAGGCACCGCGTTGCTGCGAGGGGGAGGCCCTCCGAGCCGTCTTGGGGAATACAGGACTCCAATGAATTGCAGCACGGCGCTGCCTTTGGCTACTCGTGGGGTTCTCGCTTTTGCATTTGCTGTCCTCAGGACTCGCTCGTACCTGGGCGTGTCATCCTTCGGATACACCTCCAGTTCACGTCGATCCTGCCTCGGCAAATCCCGGACCACTTCGCGCTCTGATGGCCCCTCGGCTGCACGCGGTCCCCTATACTTGTCCTCTTTCCTCCCCCTTCCGCCTTTGCCGCATTTAGCTTCGCCTGAGCCCCAGCGAAGCCCGCCCGCAACTCGGATCTGAGACGCCGCCAACCAAACATGTAACACGTCGTCGTGAAGGTGGCGGGGGAGGTGGAGGAATACGCTGTGGAAGGCGAGGAAAAGCAGCGCGAGGAAAGAGCAGGACGAGGGAACGAATTTGGGGGCGGCCGAGGGTAATGACGACGCCGACCTTGAGGACGGATTCGTGCGCACAACAATGGGGAGGGGGCGATGATGAGAATCATGGGGGGTGGGGGGATGTTGTGGGGGGGTTCTCCGAAGGGCTTAGGCGACCCGTCCTCCTCCTCCTCCCTCCTCCTCCCCCTCCTCCTCCTCCTCCTCCTCCTCCTCCTCCTCCCTTTCCTCGGGTCGCCGACGGCCCCGGGGGAGACCGTGCAGGATGTTGTGGACGGGGAAGGTGAAGGAGGTGGGCAGGAAGAGATGGACGAGGAGGAGGCGCAAGTGGAGCTGGAGCTTCCCAACATCGGGCCAGAGCGGCGGTGTAAGCTGCTACTGTCAGGGTAGCCCCCATTGGCGTCATTATCAGCATCATGCATGTCCATGCACACATTCATATGTGCAGCAGCGTCACGTTTCATCGCAGCCCTTCGTTCGCTGGCGCTGTGGTCAGTGCTCGGAGGGCTGAACACTAAGCATGGGGACGCGCACGTCGTCCATTCATCCAACATCATCGATTTTTTGATGCTCTGCGCCTCCCCACCAGCCCATCCCAAACCGGTCCACAAGCGGCTTGCCCTAATCAGGGGTGTGCGGCAACATGTTGCCGTCTTGGGGCCACCTTGGAGCAGTTTTTGGGGCCATCTTTGGACGCCCTGCGGCGCACCTCGGGGCAGGCCTTCCCAAGGCGCCGGCCAGCCGACGGCTCGGAGGCGGTTCGGAGCCCCCCCGAGGGCGGCCGCCCTGCCGTGTCCTGGCCTTCTCTCCCTCTCCCTCTCCCTCGCCCTCACCATCCCTCTCCTCCGCTCGCCTATCCCCTTCTCCTTTCCCCCCCCCCTCCCTCCCCTCTGACCTCTTCTGCCTTCCCTTCCCTCCCTGTCCCCCTCCCCTCCCCCCGTCCTCCCTCCTCCATCGTCGGTCCTCCGTCCTCCATCCTCTGCCCTCCTCCCGTGTGCGCGACGCGTGCCCTGCCCAGGTGGCAAGGGCGGCATGTACGGAGGCGGCAAGTTTGGCGGGAAAGACAACGGGTGCTCCCCTCTCCTGCTCCTGCCAGTCCCACCCCTCAAAGGAGTAGACGGATGAGGGCGGGGTATGAGGTGGGGGAGGAGGAGGAGGAGGAGGAGGAGGAGGAGGAGGAGGAGGAGGAGGAGGAGGAGGAGGAGGAGGACAAGGAGGAGGAGGAGGAGGAGAGGAGGAGGAGGAGGTTGGAGGAGGAGGAGAGGAGGAGGAGGAGGGAGGAGAGGAGGAGGGGGAGAGGAGGAGGGGGAGGAGGAGGAGGAGGAGGAGGAGGAGGAGGAGGAGTAGGAGGAGGAGGAGGAGGAGGAGGAGGAGGAGGAGGAGGCGGAGGAGGAGCGAGAGGGGAGGAGGAGGAGGAGGCGGAGGAGGAGGAGGAGGAGGAGGGGGAAGGAGGGAGGGAAAAGGAGGAGGATGAGGATGGAGGAGGAGCAGGATGAGGAGGAAGAGGAGGATGCGGAGGAGGAGGTGGAGGTGGAGGAGGAGGACCAGGAGGAGGATGATGAGGACGGTGGAGGAGGAGGAGGAGGAGGAGGAGGAGGAGGAGGAGGAGGAGGAGAAGGAGGAGCAGGGAGCCGTCCGACAACAGAACCCAGACTATTACCAGAAAGAAGGGAGCGACAGTAGCAACCTCAGGTTGCCCGCGGCAGAAGTCCAAGCACGCTAACCACAGTGCCTCGCACCAGTGGCTGGATGCCCCACCTCTGCCAGCCAATCGTGCGTACGGCGCCCGGCGGGGTCGGGGGGCTCTCGGGGCAGGCGGCACCGAGGGCACCCGCTTTGGGATAACCAGTGGCCACACGGGCCCCACCGAGCCCTCAACCTTGCAGCTTTCCAGCCCGACCGCCTCCACGCCCACGGCAGCAGCAGCAGCAGCCGCAGCAGCAGCAGCCGCCGCCGCAGCAGCAGCAGCAGCAGCAGCCGCCGCCGCAGCAGCCGCAGCAGCAGCCGCCGCCGCCGCCGCCGCCGCAGCAGCAGCAGCAGCACCGGCAAGGGCAGCCTCCCTCTCCCCTGTGGTCGAGTTGGCGCCAGCCTGGCCTCTCCGTGGCGTCGGCCAGCCGGCTGACCATCGCACTATGGTCCGCACGCAGCCCTTGGCTTCAGCAGCGTTTGGCAGCTGGCCGGGGCCCTGGCGATCGCCAGACAGGGCGCCTGCACTGGGTGCCGACGGACCCAGGGGCCAGGAGGGTCACAGAGTCGTGAGCAACATGGACAAGAATGGGCGGCCCTTTGGGCTTGGGGTTTGACTGACTCCCTTGGGCATCCCTACGGCCACCTTGCTCAACATTGGCGCTAATCATCTTCACCGCGCGAGCGAGAAACTTACGCGGCAGCTGGCAATTTTTGATCGTGGCCTGAAGTGCGGCCACTGCAAAATCAGCGACTGCAGCATCCTGGGCACCCAGCTTTGCGAAGACACCTGCCCAAACATTGCCCATGAACCTTCAGATGCCACCAGCATCGGCACCGCTTTCTATGAACCTCTCGAGCGAGCTGTGCGCAGAAAATTAATGGAAAGACGGTCGCATGCTGTGATATTGGCAGGTGCGAAACATCTTGCGCCAGATCGTAGCACGAGTAGCCAGGCCAGCTTCAGAATGAGAGTCCCAGGCTTGTCCCCCGTTAACGAAGGGCCGATGGTCACTGATGATGACAGGATCTCCATCTCCCGCAGCGCCACCAGGGAGGAGGGTTCGGGGGCTAACCCACCTCTCGCTGCGGGGGACCGTCTGGAGCCTCCCAGGGACGCCTCCGAGCCAGGCCCACATGGGCCAGCCATCAAGCGAGACTTCGGCAACCACCCAGCCGCACCCGGTGGCCTCGGGCACAGCAGTGTGCAGGCCCGAGGCGTCTGCGAAGCGGCACCCGGCCCCCGCGAGCCATCCGCAAGAGGAGAAGGAGGAGGAGGAGGGGGAGGAGGGAGGAGGAGGAGGGAGGAGGAGGGAGGAGGAGGACGAGGAGGGAGGAGCGAGGGCCCCACGAGTGCGCAGGCGGCCGAGCCAGGGGCAGAGGCCAGGAGGCAGGCAGGGAGCGAGGGGAGGCCAACAGAGGAGCGGAGCGGAGCCCCGGCGGTCCCCGAGAGAGCTCCCCCCCCTTTCTCCCGCAGGGCCTGCCTGTGTGTCCCAGACGTGCCGCCTGAGGCCCCGCCTTCCTCTGCCCCGTCGCCCGAACTGAAGCTGTGCGTCGCCCGCCTGGCTCTGCGCGGAAGAGGTTCGCTCTCGCCCCGCAGATCCAAAGAACTGTGCTCCCCAGACGTCGTCTGGGAAGCCTTGGGTTGCCGCTGGGCTCCCTTCCTGGCGCGTGAGGGCGTGCCGGCGCTCGTGGAGCTGGCGGCCAGGCGTGCTCTCTGCGGCGCGTGGCGGACCGTGCGCGCAGCCGATGGACTCCACCTGGCAGCGGGCCTGCTCGCTGGGGGCCACCGCCCCCGGCATGCTGCGCTGCCTGGAGCACGGCCACGTCGAGGCTGGGGCCCCTCCTCCTCCTCCTCCTCCTCCTCCTCCTCCTCCTCCTCCTCCTCCTCCTCCTCCTCCTCCTCCTCCTCAAGGCTCGTGGAGGAACTGCGCTGGTCCGACCTCCGCTGCGACGCCCCCCCGGACCAGAGGGGTCCTGAGAGGCCCCTGACGAGCGCCAGCTGGGAGGGCTAGAATGGCAAGGCTCGTCGCTCGAGCCCAGGCAGTGCCCCGTGCCAGGAGCTTCACGCCCAGGATGAGGATGAAGGAGCTTCAGCCGGCGCTCGACCCCGTCTCTGACGGGGCTCCGGAGCTTGTGCGGGGAGTGCTTGCGCATGCAGAGACGTGTGCTCGCCGGCATCCGCGCCGAGCGTGCGCGGTGGCACCCTTCCCGCGCAGAGAACGGAGCGCAGCGGAGGTCGGACCAGCGCATTCCCTCCACGAGCCTTGGAGGAGGAGGAGGAGGAGGAGGAGGAGGAGGAGGAGGAGGAGGAGGGGCCCCAGCCTCGACGTGGCCGTGCTCCAGGCAGCTCAGCATGCCGGGAGCGGCGCTCGCGTCCCAGATGCGGCGCGCACGTCTTGGCACCGAGAGGGCACGGCGCCCCGCGAATTTGTTGGGGCCGTGCGTCCCGTCTTCTTGCGTGCGCGGGTGCGCTGCGAGGGAGGCCGAGCCCTGTCTGGCCCCGGCCAGCTCCCCCCGCAGACGCACTGACGGTGTGTCTTAGCCAACGGCGATGCAGGAAAACCAGTTGTAGGAAGGCGTTGTTCGTGGCCGAACCAATTGTAGAACCGCGTGGTTAGTGTTTTCCTGCAACTCGCTGTGCCGTTTTCGCTCAAATAGTATATTATATTAATGTTATTTACACATTCGCATATTTGCAGTGTAGGAAACGGTGTCTCGTGATTTCTTGCATTTTGTTTTGCGTGAGCTCGGTGCCACGAAAACAATATTCCCAACCGCACCGTTAACCAAGCACGCCGTCAGCGCGGCCGTGAATCCCCTGAAAAATGCCAGAGCTTCATCAGAGTGGCATCCGTGCGCTCTGCAACGCCAGCCTTGTGGCCCGCAGACGGTGAGACTCCCGCGCGCCACGAGGCACGAAGTTTCGAGCCGCTGGCCCTCTTGATGGCCTTGGGCTTTCCACGTTCACCCAGGGCAACCCCGCGACGCTTGCGCTCGATGGTCCTATGCGCAACTCCTCCAGCGAAAGTGTCACGAACGAGGAGGAGGAGGAGGAGGAGGAGGAGGAGGAGGAGGAGGAGGAGGAGGAGGAGGAGGAGGAGGAGGAGGAGGAGGAGGTTGCGGGAACCCTCGCACTCCTTAAGCCAGCGTGCGCCGGCCGTCACAGCCCTCGCCGCCTCTGAGTGAGGAAGCCAAGCGGGCGGGTATCCTGGGCGAAAGCCACGACAGCATGATTAAAGACCACCCCGGCCTGCCTGGCCAAGCGCCCAACCCACTGGAAGAGCGCATCGTCCATGGGGCCTCGGGGCCCCAGAAAGTCGTACTCCCCCTTCGGCCTCGGGAGAGGCAGCAGCAGCAACGCTTGCTTACGGGTGGTGGCGTGAGAGCAGCCAGCCAAGATCCCTTGGAACGACACGTAGGACTTATGACGAGAGTTAACTCCCCTGATGTGCCGAGGCTGCTGATCACTGCAAGCCGACATCCAAGCTAAACGCGGGGAAACCAACAGCCACAGCCTCGGCCGTCACGGCCTTGTCCTTGACGGTTGAGCCGTCAAGCAGTGCCGGTCTGTGTACCTGGCTACTTGTGCCTCGACGTCGTGTGCGAACGCGAAATCAAGACTAGACCTGCCAGGGCCCGAGCCACGCAAGAGCTCGCTGCGGTTCTCCCCCCTCCCACTCCACCGATGCGGCAAGGAGGCGATCTTCTCCTGACTCGTTGGGCCTGGGCAGTCTGACGAGCTCGGTGGCCACGCGGCTTTGTGGCCAGCACCCCAGCTTCGCACGCTGCGCGACGAGTCGAGCAGCAGTCTCGAGTGGCCCATCACTCGAGTCCCAAGGACTGCAACGGGGCAAGCTGGCATGGGCCCGCCGCAGTGGTGGCTCAGAACTTGCTCACGGCACGGCCGCCCGCACCTCAAACGATGGGTGATGAACGGCAGCTCTGGTCGACGCTCCGCTCCAGGTGGCAAGACGTGCTTTCCGTAGCCGTGCGTCTAGCGAATGATCTAACATGAGTGCTTCCCAGCATTCCCGCTGCGGGCGAATTCACTGCCACTGTTGCGCTTGAGCCGCGAACTACTTGTCACCTCCTGCCACCCACACTGTGCCAACCGCAGGAGGTGGTTGCATTCGAACCGCGATGCATTACCCACCTCCTGCCTTCCACGCGCGCTTCACCCGCGCGCTCCGGAAGCGGGTGTTAGGTGCCAGCTGCCAGACCCGAAGTGGCGACCTTTTTACTTTTGTTTTGTATGATTGTTTTTTTTTTATTTTTCTTATTTTTGTTTGCTTCCGAAGCTCTACGCCAGCATTTTGCACGACTTGTTCAGTTTCCGACTCCTCCTCCTCCTCTCCTCCTCCGCCCTCCTCCTCCTCCTCCT